TGGGTATAAGTTACAGCTGGAAGGTGTGGTCTTTCAGGCTTTCATATCCTTGGAAAAAGAATCTTCAGTAGGAAACTGGGAAAAATCCAAAAACTGAAGTCTCCTTCATAACCCCTGTATTTCTAAAACCATTGTTAGATAAATTGAACTTTATCAGTTTGTCTCCCTATTAAGAGAACCAGTGAAATGAGCACTGGATTAGTACTAGGATGTTCTTTGTTCTAATTTGTATTAAACCATGGAATTCAGCAATTCTTAGGCCAGCCATTATGCTTGTGTTCATATACAGGTAGTCCTTGCTTAACGATCATTCATTCAGCCACCATTCAAAGTTACGATGGCACTGAACAAATAGTATATACAATTGGTCCTCGAAGTTATGGCCGTTGCAGTGCCCCCATGGTCACATGATCAAAATTTGGGTGCTTGGCAGCCTGCTCACATTTATGACCACAGGGTGCACTTCAGCTCCCCCCACCCACCTATCTCACCCCATCTCTGCACTTTTGGCTGCCTTGCACTCTGCTGCCCTGCCACGTCCTGCTACCCTCAACTGATCTTCACTGTCTTCTTTCTTCTGCTGCTGACAAGGTGTGCTTGGCCTGGCCTTTCATGAGGCAGTTGCTGGAGGGAGTGCAGGGTGGCAGTGGCGGCGGAGTGCAGGGTGGCGAAAAGGTCAGAGGTTGGGGGGGAGATAGGCAGGTGGGGGGAGTTAAAGTGGAAATGAGCATGGCAGGGCAGGAGAAGCTTGAGATCCTCACCTAATGACAGTGTGGTCCTGGCCTAATGACTGCAACCGGGACTACCGGAACTGCCATTGCTAACTGGTGCAGTTACATGATATTTCACCTAACAACTGCTTCACTTAGTGATGGAAATTCTGGTTCCAGTTAAAGTAGCTAAGTGAGGACTACTTGTATTTTCCTAAGCCATTATGTGTGTCGATTAATTTTGGTTTAAAATGATGTGTGGACCTTTTCCCAACAAAAGCAGTAGCTTTTGTCTACGTTCAGGCACAGAAACAGGACTATGATTTAAAAAAAGTATCTTCACATCTGCTTTTTGTTTTGATTTGGAGGTAAGCTTGGTGTTTGTCTTATATCCAGCTTTTTGAAGTCTGAGAGTGTTCCTTGTAAATGGACTTCAGCTCCAAGAATTCTCAGCAAATCTATACCTTTGAAGGGTGTCTAAATTGAGAAGGGTGCCTATAACAATAACATTTAGGGAATGATTTTGTTTTCTGCATCTTTGAAACACCGATGCTGATGATTTTGAGTTAATATTTGGGATCTGAGCAAAAGTCAACAGGAATAATTGAGATAATCAAACATTTCTTTTTTATATTTACATCATATTTTGTATAGCTGTAGCTCTGCTAAATCTCTGCAGGGGCTGTCTCACTGCCTTTATTTATTTATTTATTTATTTATTTATTTATTTATTTGATTGATTGATTTCTCCACTGAATATTATTGAATGGGATGCCAAAAGAAGACTCCAGATAAATGTCTTAGAAAGGTGCTTTGTAAGAAATATTCATGTAATTAAACCAGCATTTCCTACTCTAGCAATCCTGTTATATAATTTCCTTACTGTTCTTAATTTGATGAAGTGACTCTTAAATTTCATATATGATGTTTCAGAAGTGCCAGAAATCAAGATGCCTTGGTGAGGCATGGATTGTGGAAAAAAAATCTGTAACATGAACAGGTCTATTTTGAATCATAATTGGCTAGATTCACACATCACACTAACTATAATTTGTTTTTACTTGGCAAATTTTGTAAATCCAGCAATTGTATAATGGCATTAGTATAATTTCAACTAGAAAGTGTTTGTTCTACCCACCATCTGTGAATGCAGAATGAAAAGAAAAGATTGAACTCTGAGTTTGGTAGAAATGTAGTCACAAAATATTCATTTTGAATACATGTCCATCTCCAGGACCAGATGAATTGCATCCCAAGGTATTGAAAAAACTTGCTGATGATGTAGCTGAACCATAATACAGTGGAACCTCAGTTTACGAACTTAATTCGTTCCGTGACTCTGGTCGCACCCCAAATTGGTCGCAACCCGAAGCGAATTT